CTCCCCCCTTCCCCTTCCCCCCCCAGGGTGCCATCGTGAAGGATCATTAGATCCTAGGTGTAGCCCTCATCGCCCACGAGTGCATTCATTCCAGAATTGCCTCCAAAGTATCGGGCCTATTCAATAAATTGGACTCGAAAATAATGTATGACCATGTCGACTGGTCGGTTTTGGAAGAGATACTGATAAGAATGAGTTTTGGGACCCGATAGAGATAGTGGATCAATGGATGCATCCGTCACCCTTCTTTCTTGGTCATCATCAATGCCTCACTGATGGGCTTCTTCCCCTCCTCTAGATGTCTCTGCTAGGGAGACCGGTTTTCTCCCTCTCTCTTTGCCATTGTTGTTGAAGTCTTCAGCATATCAATTGTTAAGATGTACCACCATGGCTTGTTGAAGGGCAACAAGGTCACAATCTCTGACCCCTCTATCTTCACCTCCAATACGCCGATGATAGCTTCCTTTTTTGTGGTACATGGTCACATCAGATGGAGTCCTTGCTCGTTTTTCTCAAGTGCTTCCAGCTAGCCATCGGCTTCAAGTTCAATCTGGCCAAATCCAAACTATTCGGACTGGCGGTCGTCCCCCTCATCACCATAGCCTTGCTACCAGATGGGGATGTGTCGTGGACTCTCTCCCTTCCACTTACCTTGGTCTGTCTCTTTGCCATGGCAAACCCAAACTTACCCAGTGGAGTCACATCACTAATAGGTTTGATCGAAAGCTGGCGCATGGAAGGGAAGATTCTTATCTTCGGCAGGCAGAGTCACCCTCATCAAAGCCACCCTCTCCAATGTCCACGTTTCCGAGATGTCCCTTTTTTGTATGCCTGCCTCGGTTGTCCATCACTTAGAACAATTGATGCGCAACTTCCCCTGGTCTGGCTCAATGGAGTCCAACAAGATTCACCTCGTCTCTTGGCGAATAGTTTGCAAACCCAAGGCCATTGGCTGTCTGAGGATTCCAAACCTTTGACTCAATAACCTAGCCCAACTAGGGAAATGGTGGTGGCGCCTCGCCACCTAGGAGGGGCACCTTTGGCACCAGGTTCTTCGTCACAAATAACTCATCAACTATGCCTCTTGGGTGCTCGAAAATAGAACTTACATCTCCTCCACGGTGGTTTGGAAGTCACTTACCTGGAGTCTAGAATCCTTTAAAGGCCATATTCTATTTCACCAACGTCACGGTGATAGAACCCTCTTCTGGTCTGACCATTGGGTTGGACATACACCCTTAGGGATTCACTACTCACTTCACCAACCTCTTCGTCTCGCTAGAGACCCCAATGTTTCAGTGGTGGATCTTTTCCCCTTATTGGGCTCATCTCGTTCTTGGAATCCCAATTTTCGTAGACCCCTCCACGAGAATGAGATCCCTTTCTTTCTTGAGCTCTCAACCATTCTCCACCCTCTCTACATCTCTTCATAGGGTAAGGATTCTATCTTTTGGACTTTTAGCCCCAACGGAGATCTCAGTGGTCTCCGTCTACCATGTTCGCGGTTCCTATAGGCCCTCACCTCCCTTGTCTTAGCCGATTGTTGCTATGGCGTGGTTTACCTTCACCCCTCCTAGAATTCGGGTCTTCCTTTAGATAACCTTGTCGGAACGGGGCGTCATCATTGACCAGCTCCAACATAGAGGAATGAGTATCCCTAACCGCTACGCAATGTGTAGGGAAGACGAGGAAAACCAACTCACATCTTTTCAACCGTTCTAGACTTGCGAGTCAAGTGTTGGACGACATCCTTCGCCTTTTCAATTGAACCAGGGTCACTCCCAAGTCAGGCCTAAATTTGGCACCTTGCTATGGAAGGCCTCTGTTGCTGTGACATTGGGTCTATTTGGAAGGAACGCCAATAAAAGGGTTTTCCAAGGCCAGTCCTCTCAACCCCGGGCCTTGTGGAACTTTATTAGGTCCATCGTGATTTTTTGGGCATCAAACCACAACAGATTCAAGCTTTTACTGGCCTTGGACTTCTTCCTCAATTGGCATATGATCCTTAGTTTCAAGCCTCATAGTATTCCTCGTGCCTTCTTGTGGTGCCCTCTAGAACCATACCAAATAGAACTCAATTTTGACGGTTGCTCTCTTGGCAACCCAGGCCTGGCAGGCATCGGCGGAATCTTCAAAGACCATGAAGGAGCCACCCTCTCTTCCTGTACCTCGCCCATTGGATGGTCTGACTCCAAATGGTCGAAGCCTTCGCCCTTTTGGAAGGGCTCAAACTTTTCAACCCTTCATGGATTTCTTCCCTTGTCGGGGAATGAGATTAAAAAAATGTCATAACTTGGCCCTCCGGAGAGGCACCACCCCCATGGCGACTCGTTTCGGTCTTTGACGAGATCTTCGACATTTGTAGGCTCTTAAATTTTTTGGATAATAGTGAATCCGAAACTTATTTCCTTACAAGTCTGAAATTTTTGTATTCTAAATTTCATTAAATGTCAACCACCCGTTGCCAGGAAATCACAAGCTTTCCAAATCGGGTAAAACTTAGGAATCTTTGATCTCTTAAATCCTTCAAATTTGATTTATTTCCTCCCCCTTCAAATCTGATCGATGTAGTGGATAAATCATGCGAAGAAAGGTCCATGGATAAAATTTGAGCTCAAATAGGGTTCCCTAGGGGCTCTAGGGGAGAAGGGGTAAAGGTACATTGTTTATTTTTATAATATTCCCCCTGATGATGTTGAAGGGTAAGTTTTATACCAATAAAGCTGAAGGGTAAGTTCTATAGAACAACTGTGAGACCAGCTTTGCTTTATGGGGAGGAATGTTGGGCGGAAAAAAAACAATATATCTATAAAATGAATATAGTGGAGATGAGGATATTGAGATGGATGAGTGGTAGGACCAGAAAGGATAGAATCCGAAATGAATCCATTCGGGAAAGTTTAGGTGTGACACCAATAAGCGATAAGATGAGAGAGAGTAGACTTAGGTGGCTGGCGATATGTGGCGTTGACTTAGTACAACACCTGTTTGGAGGTGCGGTTAGTTTAAGTGGAAGGATTGAAAAAAGAAAGGGGTAGGCCCAAAAAGATGCAAGGATGCGGTTGGAAGTAGTCCAAAAAAATATAGGGAGTTATGACCTCACTGAGAGTATGGCCTTAAATAGAACAGAATGGTGGACCATGATTCATATGGCTGACCACAATTAATTGGGAATAGTGCTATGATGATGGTGATGATAATATTCCCCCCGAGTTTGGGGCAGTTTCGGGCTTGGTAACTTGTTGAGCCAGAGTGACTCAGGTCCCACTTGACGTTTGAAAACACTGTTTAGAGATCATCTAGCTCAGAGCCTTCTGTTTTCTTTGGGCCATGTTGGCCATTCAAAGTCCACAAAGACTTTGGCGCTTGCTCCATTAGAGGGCCCCAAACTGTTTGATATCAGATGGGACTGCTTCCAAGAAGTAGTTGGGGACCCTGTGAATGCCATTAGATAGGCTTCTAGGCAGATTCCATGGTACCTTGAGCATTTGTTGGATTGAATTTCAGCTCTTTCCAGCAACCTACAGGTTTCTACAAGCATTTAATGCACGAGGGCTTTGTGTTCTGGAATTTGCTCAAAATATTGTTTTTTTCTGTACATATGGTGCCTACTTATACATGGGGCAGAAATTTGTTCCTAGTTTGAAGGGCAAAAGGAGAAAAGAAAATGTATCTGGGCTTTGAGAATAAAAACCTGGAGATTTTAAAAGTTAACAATTTAAAACAAGTTAATGATTATAAAATAAAGATGCATGGACTTGAAGAGAGATTATTTTGTAAATTTCATTGCCCCAGAGGAACTTAAGATTTGGTTGAGAGATTAAATTTCTGGGTTCCAACTTTTTGTGGTATTTTTTTAGGGTAAATTAACTTTTTGCGGTAACCACTTCTTTTCCTTTTCCCTTCAATCTTAAAATTTACTTCCTAGTTTTTGTGGAGCCGACCTCTCTCTCTCTCTCTCTCTCTCTCACACACACACACACACACACACACACACACACACACATCAATCCATTGTCCTGCCCTGCCCTCATGTTAATAGTCACAGTTCTTCAGCTAGGTTGTTAATACAAAGTCTACTTCATACCTGCAGAAAACTCTACTTCTCACTCACTGAAATGAGGGCCACTGTTTTAGCTACTATGGGACCTTAATGAGAATTGGGGGCTCTCTTGGTTTGATTTCCCTTTCAACCATGGCACACATTTGGATTGATCAAAACATGTTCTCTGGCCTGGAGGGCTGAAAGGGGAGACTGCTTATTTGTAAAATTCTGTTCTTACTAAAGTAGTTCTATCTTTTTGAAGGTATTCAGCTAGTTGCAGACTTTATAGAGGTATGTATTATTGTGTAGTTGTCTTTTTTATACACTGATTGCATATGATATTGTAACCATAGTTTTCAGGTCACTAGTCTCTGAGGCTGTTGCATTAGTGCAATTTTAAAATGATTGCACATCCAATTCATTAACACGAAATAAAGGCATCATTCACTAGATTAAGATATCTGGTGTCTCTGGTGTTCTAGTTATTTAAAAATCGAATAATACTTTCCAGAACACTTCAGCACTGGTCTACTAGACATTTTTTTTTGCTTGTAAACTGTTGTTTTCCATGGTTGCCCATTAGGTAAAGTTTATTTTGATTGTTCCCCATGTGCTATTTGAAGATGCATTTCCTTCCCTTGTCTTGCAGAAAATTATATATATAACCATGGAACTTGTCTTGAAGAAAATTATGTATATAATCATGTGTGATCATTCCTTTATTTGTATATTCATGTGTGCCTTTTTTTTTTTTTGGATGATATGCGTCTTCTATCCTATCTCTTCTGAAGAGTAAAGAGAAATCCTAACATATAATTTATTTGTTCCATGATTTTATGGGCTTGTCTCTTTCTGGTTTTGCCCTTTTCTGTAGCCAAGTTTGAGCATGGGTATTGTTCCAAAGTGAAATGACTATATCCTTACCCCCCCTCTCTCTCTCTCTCTTTATGTGCAGATTCCTTATGTGGGTCTCAACTTTGCGGTTTATGAATCTCTCAAGGATTGGTTGATCAAGACCAAAGCTTTAGGCTTGGTCGATCCAGATTCAGAGGAGCTGAGTGTGTTGACAAGGCTAGGTTGCGGTGCAGCTGCTGGGACTGTGGGGCAGACTGTTGCGTACCCACTTGACGTGATAAGGCGGCGGATGCAGATGGTAGGGTGGAAGGATGCCTCCTCCATTCTCACAGCAGATGGTAGGAGCAAGGCCCCCCTTGAGTACACAGGCATGGTTGATGCCTTCAGGAAAACTGTCAGAAATGAAGGTTTTGGAGCACTTTACAAGGGCCTCGTTCCTAATTCTGTCAAGGTCAGTTGCACACTAATATTGTGCTTGAAATTCTCAAGAGATTGCCTACTTTCTGTATGTTTATGGGAACCTCAAATCTGCATCTGGGACCTAAAATTTTTCGAAAGATAAAAATTGAGCGACATATCTCCACTTCTACTCTCTTACTTTTTTTTTACTTTTTATTTCTTAAAATCAAGGTAAACTAACATGTTCCATCTTTCAGGAATAATTACCTGTTGCATTTAGGGCTGACAATGGGCTTGGCAGCCTGGCCTGGCCGTCCCAGCCCAGTCCATCCTGAACTGGGGACCATGCCATCGAGCCTAGTGTCTTGGGCAGGGCCTCTAGGGATCCGGCTGGGCCAGGGTCAGCTCTAGTTGCATTTACCTAAAGAAAGATGAGCTTGAACAAGCATCATCATCATCATCCAAGCCTTTTCCCAACTAATTGGGATTAGCTATACGAATCCTGGTATGCCATTCTGCTCTATCAAGGGCCATACCCTCGGAGAGGCCATAAGTCCCCATATTTTTTCTCACTACTTCCAACCATGTCCTTTTGGGCCTACTCTTTGCTATTTTTGAGCGTTTCACTTGAATTAACTCTCACCTCCTAACAGGTGCTATACTAGGTCTGCGCCACACATGGGCAGACTACTTAAGTCTACTCCATCTCTTCTTATCGCATATTGGTGCTACATCCAATTTTTCCCAAATGTATTCATTTCCAATTTTATCTCTTTTGTCTTGCCACTCATCCATCTCAACATTCTCATCTCCGCCATACTCATTGTATGGGTATGTTGTTTTTTGACCGCCGAACATTCCACCCCATAAAACAAAGCTAGTCTCACAGTTGTCTTATCATGATAAGTTTTGGCAAAGTTTTACATTGGCTGTGTACTTAACACAACCTAGGTCCTTCATCCAGGCATCGGACAGGTTAAGGGAAGGTTTTAAAGTCCTCACCTTTCTTATTTACCAAAATTTGAGACTACCTTGTTATTTTCAGCAAAGTAGCTAGCAACCACATCCTCAACAGTTCCATTAAAAATAAAAGGAAAAGAGAAAAGAAAGGCTAGATATATTGGGGAATCACTTCGCCAGATAAAAAATTGAGAGTATCTAGTCTCAAGGATAGATTACTAGATATATAAGGGAATCACCTTCAGTAATTTGTCATGATCTGTTTCTTCTCTAGTATCTCCCGATCTTTTTCTCGGGGTTGTGTCAGAGACCGGTCTCACTTTAATGTGCTGCAAAATCTATGAGGCAAGTACCTTTCTTTCTAATGTTCTATTGAGTACATGTCCATCCATGGAGGTCAATATTTCAGGTTTGGACTCCACCCCCCCCCCCCCCCCCCACTTTCCAAGAGAGAAAAATAACAATCATCATCTTGGTAAGTAGATGATAAATAGTATTTTATTGCATGAGGCATTTCTTGTTAATCACCTAACAGTTATGTGTTTCAGGTTGTTCCATCAATAGCCATTGCATTTGTAACATATGAAGTAGTAAAGGATATTTTGGGGGTGGAGATGAGAATATCAGAATGACGGGGATTTCCAACTCAGGCTTTCTCGAAGGCACGGTGCTATTTTTGTAGCCGTGGAAAGAATGATAATAAGATGAAAGGAAAGAGGGTATTTCTGTGGCTGTTGTTGATATTCTTGCAGTGCTCTAACTCTCTGCATCTACTTCCCCTTGCATTTTTTTTTCCCTCTGTATTCTTGTGGAGCTGAAATAAACCTCAAAGAGATATGGGGTATTCAGTGTTGGGGGAAAATTAGGTTCAGCTTCCCAGCCATGGGTCTTCTCTCTTGTTCCTGGTAACTTTATTTAGTGTTCTGAGTTATTTGTACTTATTATTTTTCGAAATCATGTACCAGTATGCAATCCAAAGGGTTCGAATGATTGGCATTCAAATTTGTAGTTGGTTGCGAGTGTGTAGAGAGAGTCACACTGCTCAGATTGATGCATTGGCTTGGATTACTGCTTTGCTCAGCTGTGTTTTTAGGGCTTAAACTCTTGGTTCTAATTTGAAAATGAAAACGTCTCTATCTTTTTAAAAATATCTGCTTGTACAGTAAAATGAACAAAATGTCACTGAAAGAATACTAGTGCGCAACTGCGTTATTAAGCATGGTGATCTTAGCCTTGCATTCCGTTTCTGATGAAAATTTTATGATTCCCTAGGCCTATGTAGTAGTTTACGGACCACCCAGTTTGTTCAGCAGGATTATAAGAAATTCATTAACCAAATGGATTATGGACCATTGGAGTGTGCAAACTGAGAATAGTGCGATAACCAAGTGGCTATAAGTGCGACCAGAGAATCCAGTTCAACGGTAAATCAAGGCATATCACGGTAGAATGTTATCATGTAAGGTAAGACGGAGGATCGAGAGGCTGAAGTAGCACATATCCCTTAAGCTATGCATGCAGACTCCAATGACTTAGGGTTTGGTGGCTAATATCTTTGCAAAGTATGGGCCTAAGAAAGGCTGAAACCGAAAAGGAAAGATAAAATTTGAGAATGACTAAATATGTGGCTGTACATGCATGAAAATGGATATTTCTGTGATAGCAAGGCCTGAAAGGCCAATTGAGAAAATGTTGACATTGTGGCTCTTCACAGCCTCCACACCTAGATTTTCTGTGGTTTTTGGTCGTAGTGGGAGTGATTGAGAACATGTGATTCGTTGGATTTGTGCGAATTGGGATCCAAAGTTGGTGTCTAAAAGTTACAAAACTCTGGATCATGATGCTTGGTTTAAGGGGCATTAAATCGAAAAAGGTTTGGGGTTCTTAGGATTGGTGAGGGATCAACTCAAGATCGGTTTGAGTTAGGGCATGATATTTTTTATTTATATATATTTCAGTGAATGGTTAAATATGGATCGATATATCTGCATATGAAACTTTATTTGATTTTTTTTTTGGAGGGTGTATTCAGTCTTGTGTAAGGACTGGTTTTGAAAAGATGGGAGCCAAATCCGTGACATTTGGACCTTTCTCATAGCATGCACATGTGACAAAATAGGAAGCTGCTCTCGCACTGGTAGATCCATTGAGAGACATGCTCAAGTTCTAGAGAGAATACCCCAAAATCTTGAGAGTGCATCTCCTCTGCAATCCTGGGGCTATCCCTTATAAATTTGGGACACATTCATCTATTCTGTGCTTTGATGTGCCAAGCATAAGTCCCTGGTAGGGACTGTAGATCACCAGTCTTGTTGGGCTAATTTCGATAAAGTTGTCGGGTTTGGATCTGGCCAATTGCCCTAAGTTCTATGAGGATCCTAATTTCCTAATATGGGATTTTTTTTATGCATTACTGAAAATGATTTTAGGAGATCTTTAAATATTTTTTTGAAATTTTTCTAGGTAAAAAACTCTTCGCAAAATAAAAAATTGCAAACTTTCACTTGAGGTCAGCTTGCTATGGGCAGCCCTTGTGAGGCTCCTTTGGTATTACTGCCTTGCATTTTGAGCATTTGTTTTCTCTCGTGTTTTTTCCGTCAAGTGTGTCCCTCTGTTGATTTATTTTTTAATATAAGGAGCTTAAGCCGATTAAATCCTTGATCTAAAAGTTTTTCTTATGCTTTTGATCTCTCATTGATCAAATGTGTGAAAGTATAATACCAGATGTGCCATATGACTTACACACAAAAAGCTTGGAGAAATTTCATTTGTGGGAGAGGGAAAGAGAGAGACAGAGAGGCATAATGGCTTCTATTTGAGCCTTGAACGAGCATTGGTAATTTCTTCCCATTGCCAATTTATAACAAAGTAATCTTTAAATTGAGTCCTTTCATGATTCAATAGTTGCTCCTTTCATGCCTCTTGAAACCTACAGATGCTAGCATGGCCATAGTTCAGTCTGGGCTCATTTCCATGAGTTTTAGTTGAGCTTATCATAGCTGAATTTTTACATCATTCACCATACAACAACCAAGGTTTTAATCTTCTTTTTTGACATAAAAGATTGATTTTACAGGGTGTTAATATGCCGAAATTTCCCCTTGCAACACATAGCAATTTGGTGATCCACACATCTCTATTGTGCTCCACGCACCTCTCTCTCTCTC